GGACAGACAGCAAAACAGTATTGTCTTGGGTGCGAACGGGATCGCGCTCATTCAAGCCATTCGTCGCGCATCGCATAGCCGCCATCGAAGAACTCAGCACCATCAACGAGTGGCGATGGGTGCCCACGAAGCTCAACACAGCAGACGACGCCACAAGAATATCACCGCACGACTTCTACGGCTACCACAGATGGTTCACCGGGCCTCCGTTTCTACGAAACAAACAAGAAGAATGGCCCGCCGAAACTGCAACCGCAACCGAAGTCACTGGGGAAGAACGCGTGCACCACATAAGCACGAAGAAAGCGCCGTCAATATCCGAAGCTGCACCGGACGTCACTCGATTTTCGCGCTGGGACAAGTTAATTCGGACTACGGCAAGAGTACTACAGTTCATCGACCTCTGCCAAGCGAAAATCGACCGAATTAACTACAGAAGAAAGAAAAACGAAAAGGAACCCGACTGGAAGAAAAATCAAAAATCGGCGCCGACACATAAGAAGAAAACGACGCCAACCGCTCAAGAAAGAAAATTCATCGCAATCGACCGAAGATACATCGAACGCGCAGAGAAAATAATAGTTCGCGTAATACAACACGACGCATTTCAAGACGAGTTGAAACAACTGCGAGGGGGCGCCACCATCGCTACGAACAGTCGACTCCGCCCACTTTCGCTAATAGTCAACGACGGCGTGTTATACCTACGAAGCCGGGTCAACGCAGCGGCGGGAGTAACCGAAACTCAGAAGACACCGGCGATACTCGACGGGAACCATCGAGCCACCCAACTGTGGATAGAACACACACATAGAAGCCTTCTCCACGCCGGGGTGGAAACTACAGTCAACGAGTGCAGACAACACTATTGGATTCTACGCATTCGACCCGTCACGAAACGAATAATAAGCAGTTGCATAAACTGCCGCATAAGGAGGGCGGCGCCACCGTCGCCACCTACCGGAGATTTGCCGCCGACGCGCCTCGCTCATCACCGACGGCCATTCACGTACACCGGATTGGATTATTTCGGGCCGTTGACAGTCACCGTGGGCAGGCGTCAAGAAAAACGCTACGTCGCGCTCTTCACATGTCTTACTACGAGAGCCGTGCACCTCGAGTTGGCCGCCTCGCTATCGACGGACTCCGCCATACACGCACTACGGCGCATGATAGCGCGCCGCGGGTGCCCTACCGAAATTTGGTCGGACAACGGGACCAACTTCCACGGCGCAGAAAACGAAATGAAGAAGGCAGTGCAGCAGGCGACGAGCGAAGAAGCAAGCATCCGCAGTATCCGGTGGAGGTACATACCGCCGGGAGCACCATTCATGGGCGGGGCGTGGGAACGCCTCGTGAAGTCCGTCAAAATCGCGCTAAGTGCGGTTTTGCAAGAAAGAAGTCCGCCCGAAGAGGTACTTACGACGCTACTCGCCGAGGCCGAATACACCGTGAACAGCCGGCCTCTCACCCACGTGTCCGTGCACCATGAAGACGACGAAGCCATCACTCCCAACCACTTTCTGCTGGGAGGTTCAGCGCGCGTCCCACTGCCGGGCGAGTTCGACGAGAGCGACCTGATAGGCCGCCCGCACTGGAGAGCAGCACAGCGCCTCGCGGACCACTTCTGGGCGCGCTGGGTACGAGAGTACCTACCCGAGCTGCAACACCGGCGGGAGCCCCACGGGACCGGGAAGACCATCGCCATCGGGGACATCGTGCTCATCGCCGACAGCAACCTGCCACGCAACACGTGGCCCAAGGGAGTCGTCATCGCCACTTTTCCCGGGCGAGACGGCACAGTACGAGTCGTCGATCTGAAGACAGCCGGAGGAGTGCTACGCAGACCGACCAAGCGACTGGTGATATTCGCATCGGCCGCCACTCCCACGGAAGATGGATGCAGCGACGAGTCAACCGACGCTGCACGGCGGGAGTATGTACGCGACGACCGAAGCGAAAGAAAATGAACTCACGACGATACGAGAGCAATGTATAAAAATGTATCTATAATTTCACATGAATTAGTTGTATACGTATTAAAAATATCATTCCCTTGTTGTCTTATTAGAATGAGTCGGATATCGCAACAATAGATAGCTCAGCCCATAGTAAACCATTGTAAAATTGATAGTTCAGAGCGATATTCCGCCCCGTTCTCTCCAATAATCTTATAAGACTTTATCTAAACGATCGCCACGACGCCAAGCGGTGGCGCGGGGAAACTAGTCAGAATACTGATAGTTCCGACCTATAGGAGGGACGGAGACAATAGGTTGTCCTTGTCACACGTCTTATAGGATTTTGCCTGAGTTGACAATTTTCGATAATAGTATGTTTTATGTTTTGATTGATTTATTTTATGTCTTATTAGATAGTAGGTAGTTATAGGAATAATATATCGAAGTTTTGTATGAATCGTGTTAGTAGTTTAAGCGTAATTAAGGAAAGTATCGGGAATAGTTTTTTATGAATAGTCAATAGGATATAGGTATAATTGTTATAATAATGATGTCATTTTATGTGTTTTTACTTCTTCTTTAAAATGGTGTATGATAATTAGACATTAAGCGAGTATAAGTAGGTTTTTTAAGACTTTTTAATTTGTAAACTTTATAGGGCCGTACAGCTGTTGTTTATTAATATTCTTGTAAGAAACTTGTTGTATTAGATAGGTAACACGTAGGGCTACGTAAATAAATAGGTATCGCATCAATAAGTGTAAAAATGTACTGTGTAGGAGAAGAAACATGTTTGTATAGAACCGTTTTCTGAGACATATTGCGCTCCCCACCCGGCGCGCCCGGAGCGCGCGGGTGGGGCAGCGAAGCCCCGTGGCAGGGCGAAGCCCTATGGAGGGGGAAAGTATAAATATTGCGGAGACCTATTTTTTGCGCGCCACACCTAAAATATCGTGTTTACGGACACATAACTATGTTAAAAATATGCCCAAATGTATGCCCGATGTATGTACAATTAGTTTTAAGCTCGCACTATTGTAAATCTTGAGAAAATGAAAAATAAAGTATAGCGTGGGTGAGGTAATGGATCGCTGGCCAGCTCAGTCCTAGCATATAAAATTCGAGTCGGAACATGCCCCGACATGCATTCAGCGACAGGCGCTCCTACCCTAAGGAACAGGAAGAAACAACCAAGCGGTTCACTCTGGACCTGAAGCCTCCTCTCACCGGCCATCCATTATCAGCGCCCACCGATTTCTTCAATACCGAACACCAGGGGTTTTATTCGCCGAAACTACAGTCCACTACAGTCAAGACTCCTGCGTGTAACTTCCTCCACCCCCTCAGTACGAGTCGGTAACTGTCCGCTACTGCGACAGCCCGGCGTCCCGTACATGTACGTTGTTTAATTATTTGCCACATAGATTTCGTTACGTTTTTTGAATATTTAATTTTTTTAATATATAAGTTCTTTTTTGATGTTATTACTATATTCTTTAATAGTTTTACATATTTATTGTAATAATCATTAAGTAATGGATTATTTGTCTGAGATTTTAATATATGTAGTAATCGTTTATGTTTACAAGATGTTTTAATGCCTTTAGTTAGCCACAGTTTTTTATTAATATTATTTATTTTTACTAGTTTTTTTGGAATGCACTTGTTTAAATAAACATGTTAATAAGTCGTGAAAAGAACTGTAATTTTGATTGATACTTTTTTTATGTGATAATATTTGATCCCAATTAATAGCCTGCAATTGTTTTTTAAACAATGCAGTGTTATGCAGGTTAAAAATTCTTTTCTTTATATAGTACGCAGTTGAATTTTGTTTTATTTGGGGTTTTTGAAAGTCAGTCAAAAACATTTCTTTTTGCAAACATCAATTCGATGTAAGTACTCATTGAATAATATTTAAAGTTTAAAAATTCAATTTTTAAGGTTACGAATGTACCTACTAAGTCAAAGAGTTTTGTTGTTTCTCCTTTCACAAATCCTGCGTCCAGCATTAATTTAGTCAACAAAACCAATGACGGGAACCTTTTCTACAAGATACAAGAGTTTTTAGATATATCTTTATAATAAATAAACATTTTTATAGTTTTTAAGAAAAGTAACGGAAAATATTCTTCTTTATTCTAGTGAATTAAGTTATTTTACAAATTTGAAAAAATTAAAGAAAATACGTAGATTCTGGGACTAAAGTTAGTAGGTTTGCAGAAAAGGCCTAAAATACGTAGATCTACGTAAAAAGACGTAGAGTTGGCAACACTGAAGCTTACTTGACACTATACCGATGATATTCCGGATGTCAGCCTGTATGAGTTCGTACCAAGAAACACAGTGTCGGTAGACCACTCACAAGGTGGACTGATGACGTCAAACGAGTTGGGTGGACCCTGACTGGATGCGGAAAGCGCATGACCATTGTGTTTGGAAATCCCTGGAGGAGGCTTATGTCCAGCAATGAACGTCCATTGGCTAATTAATATGATGATGATATTAGGGAGATGCGTGACGCATACCTCGTTATGTGGGACTCCTCCTCCGAAATCTCATCCACTCAGCTAACATATGGGGCCGGCTCAGTAGACGTTTCAGATAAGGGGCCCTGCCAACTAACAAGCAACAGTGTTAACTAACAGGGCATCTGCCGGAATTCGTTTCAATACAATACAAAAACTCTTTATTGTACACCACAAAAATACATTGAACATTAAGTACAAAACCATCTAGTACACGTGATGCAATGGGCGGCCTTATCGTTTAAAGCGATCTCTTCCAGGCCACATTTGGATGGAGAGGATTAGAAGGAAGTGGGAGAGACGGCGGTGTAAATCGTGTTCGGGGGTTTCGTGAGATATAAAGACTCTCCACGGTTACACCTCAGTAAGATCTCAGTAAAACACCTTTAACCTTTTGGTGATTTTGTATTTTTTTGTTTGGAAGGGGATCGGGTCAGGGTAGGCTTATTTTAGATTATATGAAGATAAAGTTTATATGAGGAGGATTTGTGTAACACTGAATTTGTTTCAGCCGCTCATTGCTTCTGGAATGACACGCACAAGGCGTTGCCGGCTTCCAACTACGCGGTGGCTCTCGGTAAACTGTACAGACCCTGGGCTTACTCGGGAGACCAGGACGTGCAGCGATCTGATGTTGGTACCCCACACTTCTGGACTTTCTTTTTATATTATAGTTATTAACGTAATGGCAGCAACAAACCTATGAAACTCGACGCCACCCAATGCTACGCTACGCGTGTTGAGTCAAGTCAAATGTACTATTTTCTAGGAACAGAATCAAAAAAAAATCAAAATTCAATATCGTTTATTCAGTCTAGGCTGTTACAAGCACTTGTGAATGTCGAAAAGCTACGCCATCGGTTCGCAAAACTACGGCGGGAGACCTTGTACTGAGAAGAACCGGCAAGAAACTCAGCAAGGGCTGCTTTTTTGACGTGACAACATCTTAAATTAGGTTGCGGCTGGGAGTCACTTATAGGGTTGCAACGATATATCGGAATATCGATATTATCGATAATATCGAGACCAAAATATCGATATTTATATCGATATTTAAAATTCACTGATATCGATAATATCGATATCGGAAATTCCAAAATATCGATATTTCGTAGACTTAATTTGAACACAATAATATCAATTAATTTACCTGCTACGACTATCTAAATTGAATAATATCGAAATAACTAAGAGAACATCTATAAAGATGTATTAAAAAAATCTCGAACCCCAAGAAATATACTAAACTGGTGTGGACTCTGGCATGTTTCTCTAAACCTAAAATTAAATTTGACAACAGTGTATCCTTGTCATTCTCTATACAGAATGAAAAGGAGAGACTGATGTTAAATTTAGTTTTAAATTTAGATAATCATGCCAGAATCGACACCAACGTATATAGGTATAATCGTATACCTAATGGTATACGACTAGACTAAGACTAACTACTGATAAATTGAAATTTAATATCATTGTAATATAACACAAAATAAAATTAAGAATCTTATACAAATCGTAAATTTTTTAAGCTCGCCAAGTCAAGAAAGTAAGATAGGTATAGTAATTTTGGAAGCTTTGGGCTTACCCTATTCTGAAGCCTGGTGTGTAGGTTTTACTAATTCATAACAATTGTTTTTCATATGATTATCTATTCTGATTTTGGCTGCGTGCAAATATTTCAAACAAAATAAATATCTTTGATTCGAAATTGCTTTTGATTTGATACTTCTTACAGCGCTATAAAAAAATATAGAAAATATCGTGTTGGAAATGTTGGAATGGCTGACATATCTGATCGGATATCGATATTTACCTGCCCACATTATAAATATCGATATTTCGGAAACCTTTGCATCCTTAATTTTAGGGTTTTGCTTTGCAAACTTAATATAAAGCAAAAAAAAGAAAAAAATATCGATATATCGATAATATCGATTTAAAATGGTCGATATATCGGATATCGATATTTGCCTGACTTCGATATAAATATCGATATAAATATCGATATTTCAAAAGACTTTGCATCCCTAGTCACTTATGAAAAAGTGTAACGCTCGGTAACGTTACGATGAGTCTCTCGTGTTAAGTTTAAGTTTACATGTACAATGTTTTAGTAAACAAAATATATTTCTATAGTTAAAATTTGTGCAATTCTTATTTTCATTCAATTCCTTGTTCCTATTGTGCAATTTAATTATATTCATATCAATAAATATTCTACCGAGAAAAAGACGTTGTCACGTAAAATCTTCGCCCGTAAAACCGACTTTACAGGCAACCATTTTTTCTCCCTGTTTTATTTCATACAGTGTCGTCCAATTGAAAGTTGACATCAAACTTGCAAACATGTGTTGAGGTCAACTTCCATCACATAATGTCAAATATGTAACAATCAATGAATTTACTAACAATAAGTGCAAAGATAAGTCCCAAAATAGCAAGAAACAATTTTCAAAATAAAATGAACAAGTATATGAAAGGGAGTAAGTGCAAGGTTCTCTTCAAAACTCTTTCTATAGCTGGGAGCCTTAGTTTTAATATAACTTTTGAAAAATTATCTACAGGTAAAATTACAACCAGGGGCCCAATTCTCGCGGCATAGATATTATATCACCTTCGATATATATCGAATGATCTGGCTTTTATCGAAGGAAAACCTTTTTGCCCTATTCTCACCATGTCGCAATAGATATTTATCTATGGATGATCAGTAGACATACATCGACTGGTAAAGAGCCTTCGATATATAAATATCTATGGATCTTGGCATGTCAATATTGTTATTTCCACTTTTTTTACCTATTATTTATTGTGTTGTCGTGTGTCTTTGCCAATTATTGTTACCTCGAGATGTTGTTAACTGTCTTCATAAATAATTAGTAAATAAAGAAGTAGGTAAACGATGGTGTCGATTCTGGCGTGATTCTCTAAACTTAAAACTAAATTTAACATCAGTCTCTCTTTTTCATTCTGTATAGAGAATGACAAGGAAACACTGTTGTCAAGTTTAAGTTGAGATTTAAAGAATCGTGCCAGAATCGACACCAGTTTATATTAACGATGGATGAATTGATTCATGTTTTCGTCAATGATTTAATAAATGACGTGATTGCTGCTGCTGTGCTAAGGCGCCGCCGTTGTGAGAGCAAGAGGGCCCATTTGAAATGAGGGACGCCGACTTCATAAAAAAATTACGTTTAAACAAAAATTTGGTTAGAAATCTTTAAAGTTATGAATGACATTGGTATCGGTTCTGACACGATTCTCTAAACTTAAATCTAAATTTAACATCAGTCTCTCCTTTTCATTCTGTATGGAGAATGACAAGGATACACTGTTGTCAAATTTACGTTTAGGTTTAGAGAATCATGCCAGAACGACACCATTTTCTTATTGACGATACGGAGTTTTGGCGGGATTTCTGCGAGTGCGGTTGGCATCTTATTTTAATTATTCTAAAATTCGTTCATAGTGGATATTGTGAAATAAAATTGGTGTGATTTGGTGGTACAACCGTCTGCGCAACTGAAGAATTAGTGGAATCTTTAAAATATACGCTATTCCGGTCAAGTGGACGCGAGAACTTTATTGTAGTGTTGACTACCTCACAGAAGCTTAGAGAAAAAGCCAACTCCATAAATTTCGTGCCAAACACTCCAAGAAACATTAGAATGCGTCACACCGACATTCGAATGTAAAAAAAAGAAGATTAATATAACTAAAGACTAGGCTTTATGGGCATTGTTACCCTTGCCTTCCCTGAAAAGGGAGAATCTTAAATAATATTGACGTTTCATTATAAATAACGTTGAAATTATTTATGCATACAATTTAGGTAAAGTTGAGATTTCTTATACTCAAAAAATGTATACTCATATTTAATATGAATGGAATTCATAAAATATCATTTTGTTGCTTGTAAAATTCTGCTCTAATTTATTATTATTTTATATAGACTATGATGTTAACTTAATCGAGAAAAACGGAACGCATTCGGCAGTGAAAGAATATCTACGATAGATTTAATATCATTGGAATAACGAAAATCCACGAGAATAGCATTTTTTACCATCAGTAGATATTTTCAATAGATATCCCTACTTTCGATATTATCTCGAAGCCGATATAATATCTACGCCGCGAGAATTGGGCCCCTGGGGCCCAATTCTCGCAGCATAGATATTATATCACTTTCGATATATATCGAATGATCTGGCTTTTATCGAAGGAAAACCTTTTTGCCCTATTCTCACCATGTCGCAATAGATATTTATCTACGGATGATCAGTAGACATACATCGACTGGTAAAGAGCCTTCGATATATAAATATCTATGGATCTTGGCATGTCAATCTTGTTATTTCCACTTTTTTTACCTATTATTTATTTTGTTGTCGTGTGTCTTTGCCAATTATTGTTACCTCAAGATGTTGTTAACTGCCTTCATAAATAATTAGTAAATAAAGAAGTAGGTAAACAATGGTGTCGATTCTGGCGTGATTCTCTAAACTTAAAACTAAATTTAACATCAGTCTCTCTTTTTCATTCTGTATAGAGAATGACAAGGAAACACTGTTGTCAAGTTTAAGTTTAGATTTAGAGAATCGTGCCAGAATCGACACCAGTTTATATTAACGATGGATGAGTTGATTCATGTTTTCGTCAATGATTTAATAAATGACGTGATTGCTTCTGCTGTGCTAAGGTGCCGCCGTTGTGAGAGCAAGAGGGCCCATTTGAAATGAGGGACGCCGACTTCATAAAAAAATTACGTTTAAACAAAAATTTGGTTAGAAATCTTTAGTTATGAATGACATTGGTATCGATTCTGACACGATTCTCTAAACTTAAAACTAAATTTAACATCAGTCTCTCCTTTTCATTCTGTATGGAGAATGACAAGGATACACTGTTGTCAAATTTACGTTTAGGTTTACAGAATCATGCCAGAATCGACACCATTTTCTTATTGATGATACGGAGTTTTGGCGGGATTCCTGCGAGTGCGGTTGGCATCTTATTTTAATTATTCTAAAATTCGTTCATAGTGGATATTGTGAAATAAAATTGGTGTGATTTGGTGTAACAACCGTCTGCGCAACTGAAGAATTAGTGGAATCTTTAAAATATACGCTATTCCGGTCAAGTGGACGCGAAAACTTTATTGTAGTGTTGACTACCTCACAGAAGCTTAGAGAAAAAGCCAACTCCATAAATTTCGTGCCAAACACTCCAAGAAACATTAGAATGCGTCACACCGACATTCGAATGTAAAAAAAAGCAGATTAATATAACTAAAGACTAGGCTTTATGGGCATTGTTCCCTTTGCCTTCCCTGAAAAGGGAAAATCTTTAATAATATTGACGTTTCATTATACTTAACGTTGAAATTATATACGCATACAATTTAGGTAAAGTTGAGATTTCTTATACTCAAAAAATGTATACTCATATTTAATATGAATGGAATTCATAAAATATCATTTTGTTGCTTGTAAAATTCTGCTCTAATTTATTATTATTTTATATAGACTATGATGTTAACTTAATCGAGAAAAACGGAACGCATTCGGCAGTGAAAGAATATCTACGATAGATATAATATCATTGGAATATCGAAAATCCACGAGAATAGCATTTTTTACCATCAGTAGATATTTTCAATAGATATCCCTACTTTCGATATTATCTCGAAGACGATATAATATCTACGCCGCGAGAATTGGGCCCCAGGCCGTTTTATCATTCAAATATTGATTGACAGTATAATATCCTTTCTTAAGTAAACAATTCTTAATGTGTATTTTAAATTTATGAGGAGGCAAATCAAGGATATCAATAGGAATCTTATTATAGAAATGTATACCTTGACCCATAAATGATTTATGAACCTTCTGTAACCTGTAATTTGGTATCTTGAGTTTATTTTTATTCCTTGTATTAAAAGAATGTATGTCACTGTGTTTTAGATAATAGTTAATATTGCTTCGAACAAAAAGTATGCAATTATAAATGAATTGAGAAGCAACAGTCAAAATCCCGATTTCTTTAAATTTTTCTCTAAGAGATGTTCTAGAACTAAGTTGATAAATAGCCCTTATAGCTCTTTTTTGCAAGATAAATATAGTTTCAATATCGGCTGCTGATCCCCAGAGAATAATACCATAGGATACAATACTATGAAAGTAACTAAAGTATACAGTTCTAGCAGTAGCTACATCAGTAAGTTGTCTTATTTTACGTATGGCATAGGCTGCTGAACTAAGTTTACCAGCTAGCAGAGAAATATGAGGATACCATTGCAATTTCGAGTCTATGGTTATACCTAAGAATATCGTTGACTCAACTAAATCTAGGTTTTCATTGTTTAGTTTAATTCTAATGGTTTCGCTTCTAACATTAGGTAAAGTGAATTTAATGCATTTGGTTTTATTTGCATTTAATTTTAAGTTATTTACATTAAACCAGTGCAATACTTGTGAGAGAGCATTATTTACATCGTCAAAGTTATTCTTGTATCGGTCAACCTTAAATAATAAAGAAGTATCATCAGCAAACAATACGATCTCACACAATTTTTCCACAAAAAATGGCAAATCGTTTATGTACAATAAAAATAGAAACGGACCTAAAATCGATCCCTGGGGAACGCCCATTTTCACATAAGATCCAGATGACTTAACACCATTTACCTCTACAGTTTGAACTCTGGAACTGAGATACGATAGTAGCAAGTTTTGGGCTGCGCCTTTGATTCCATAGTGATTTAATTTTAACATCAGCGTCTGGTGCTCAACGCAGTCAAACGCCTTGGATAAGTCACAGAATACCCCAAGAACATTCTGCGACTTCTCCCAGGCTTCCATTATATGCCTTATAAGTGCAACACCCGCATCCGTTGTTGATCTACCCCTAGTAAAGCCAAATTGATTATTATGTAACAGTTTGTTCAAACTGACATGCGATAATAATTGATCTAAAATAATTTTTTCGAAAATTTTACTTAATACCGGTAATATTGATATAGGTCTGTAATTACCGAGATCATCTCTTATGCCGTTTTTGAAGAGAGGGATAACTTTACTATATTTCATAAGGTCTGGAAAATCACCTTGATCAATACACTTATTGAATATATCTGCAAGATAAGGAGCGATAACTGTTATTATACTTTTAGTAATTTTAATAGACATTCCAAACAAATCACAAGTATTTTTCTTTTTAAGTGAGTTAAAGCATTTTATAATATCCATAAAATCAACATGTTTAAACGTAAACAGGTTATTACACCGAGGCACACACGTCTCTAGCAAACTCTTAGCACCCGCTGGCGTCGAATTCAAATTAGAAGTAGTAATTAATGGTATATTAACGAAATATTCATTAAAAGTATTGGCAATCTGTTCTTTTGTTTTAATTTGAATATTATCTACTTTAAGTGCGATCCCATCATCGAGGGTTCTTTCTTTACCAGTTCCTCTATTAATAACATTCCATGTCGTTTTAATTTTATTATTAGATTTTATGATTTTATTTTTTATGTAATTGGATTTGGCTGTTGCACATACACTTTTGAATGTTTTTGAGTACCTTTTAACATAATCAATGAAACCCTGAGAGTGATTGTACTTCCTTAAGTAGTACAAATCATAAAGTTTATTTCTGCTCTTATAAATACCAGACGTAGCCCAGTCATAGAAGTTCAACTTTTGGGTTAATTTCAAAGTTTTAAGCGGAAAAGCCTTATCGAATTCTTTCTTAACCAAAGTGAACATATTGCCGTAAAGAATATTAGGATCTTCATGTGTCCATGGCATTTGAAACATTTTATCATCAATATTGTTTTGAAAATTTTCTAAACGTTTATTTGTTACTGGTCTTAATTCAATGAATTTGGGCTTAGTAGTGTCATTTGTATTATATGTTATTTTTAAGCCGTAATCACATTAGGAACATCCGACACGACGCGAAACGCAATCACTAATCATAGAAAATAAGCGTGGCGGTGCGTCGGGTGGCATCGCGTTTTTAAATCTGTGTCAGGCATAACTCAGTAACTCGGCGAACAGTGCCGGGATCAGGGACCCACAAAAAACAGGTCAAGTGACCATGAAAGTTTAAAATAATTATATTTCTTCTTTTTATTTACCCCAGAGAAACAAGGGTGGTCTCGGTCCATCGCGTTTATTATTACGCTTAAATTTAGATATTGAGATAAAGGAGAACTTGGAAAAATACATTTACTTTTGGTAGGGAAAAGATTTTTTTAAGGGGCTAACATAGAAGATAACACGTTCAGAAATCAAAAATCAATATATCTTTATTCAAATTGGATGTATAGTACAACTCTTTTGAATCGTCTAAATTTTTAAGCTGCGGAGAAAAACGAGCGAAAAAAACTCTACAACACTAACAGTCTAATGTAACAACATTTATAAATTATTATGTTATTACAACGTCAATACAATTATGATTTATTTAATACAGAAAACCTGTTGGAATGATTGGAACAGTTCAAACCCAAGTATTTTTGTCTGTTTTTGTTTCTTGTATTAAGTGTGTGAACATCACTGTTTTTAAGAAACAAATATTTTTTTACTCTCACAAGTAATAAATTTTCGTATATGTATTGTGATGCGACTGTCATTATTCGAAATTCTTTAAACTTATCTCTTAACGATTCTTTAACTTTAAGATTATAAATTGATGGTATAGCTTTCTTCTGCAGCACAAAAATAGTTTGAATGTCGGCGGCATTTCCCCACAATAATATTTCGTACGACGTTACACTATGGAAATAACTAAAGTACACTAATCTGGCCGTATCTACATCCGTTAACTGGCGTATCTTCATTATGGCATATGTATGCTGCAGAGCTTAGTCTATTTGATAATTTATCAATATGTGGGCCCCATTGAAGATTAATCCCTAAGAATACTGTGGTGTCTACAAGGCTCACATTGCTATCCTTTACACTGGTTTTTACCTGTTTTACATTATTTAATACAAATTCCATACATTTCGATTTTCCTTCATTAAGTAATAAATTGTTAACATTGAACCAGTGGACTACCTCAGAGATACAATTGTTCACGTCGTCAATAACTTTTTCCTTCCGTTTGAGTTTAAATAAAAGTGATGTATCATCCGCGAATAATACTATCTCATGGTTATCTCTTACATAGTAAGGTAAGCCATAAATATAAATTAAAAATAAGAAAGGACCTAAGATTGAGCCCTGCGGAACACTATCTTAACCGGCGAACCCGGAGACTGATTACCATTCTCTGAATCCTATCCCTCAGGTATGATGCAATAAGATCCAGATCGGTTACTCTAAATCCATAGTGGGGGAGTTTCCTGAGTAATGTTTTATGAAAAACGCAATCAAAAGCCTTGGACAAGTCGTAAAACACACCTAGAGCGTCCTGCGAGTTCTCCTAGGCGTCAAAAATTTGTTGTATAAGTTCAACACCGGCATCGGTTGTTGAACGACCCCGTGTAAAACCAAATTGTTTACAGTGAAGTATATTATATTTATTAAAAGGTGATTGCATTTGATCTAACATGATTTTTTCGAAAATTTTACTAATACTACAGAAATTGGGTTAAAATTGTGTAACAAATTAAAATAAATAATATATTGTTTTAAACTTTCATGGTCATTAACATTATAGTTATTAGAAGGATAGCTACCATGTACCTTGTTTTTTGTGAGTCTCCGATATTTCGGCACTGTTGCAAGCGCACATGATCACGGAGTAACATATCCGTACTATAATGAAAAGAGGAGCTCGATGACGCAAGTGGTAAGCGCGTTCAGCTGCGATCGTTGAAGTCAAGCAACTTTCACATTGGTCGGTCATTGGATGGGTGACAAAAAAAAACTATCTCGAGCAGTCGAGCTACTCAATGCTTCGGAAAGAACATTAAGCCTTTGGTCCCGGCTGCATCTACAGTCGTTAACACCCACCAATCCGCACTGGGCCCGCGTGGTGTGTCATGGCCCAATCTCCCTATTCCATCTGTAGGTAATGCCTTTGCCCCAGCTGTGGGGATAATAATAGGCTGATGATTATGATGACTATAATCAAAATAATCAATTTTTCAACAGGTAGCGCAAATCAATCTGTCACCTTACTTCCAAGGTGGCACCGCCAACTTCCAGGATGACATAGCAATCATGTTACTGGCCTCCGTGATCGAATTTAGGCCGCACATAAGGCCCGTGTGTGTGAGCTTCAACGTTGTGTTCGAGAGCCGTCAGTTGTCGCCCGGAAATAAAGGGAAGGTGAGAAATGACAAATTTACTCGACATACCCCTCTACTTCATGTTCCGTTTCACCCAACCAACTACGGAAAAAACTCGGTTCTTTCGCGTTTGTGCCAAACATACAATGATAAGTTTTCAAAAATCGATCTTTTTGCTTACTCCAAAATTTCATTTAAATCCAGAATTATTGATAACATTCTCGGCGACACTGTGTAGCATTGGTACGTGGTTGTTTATGCATAAAATATCTGTCTTATTATTTTATATTTGTTCTGGAGTGATTATCATTATGTAATTTTTATTTTTTACTTAGCAGCACGATTTAATTTTAAATCTTGAAAACACTTTAGGTGGTTGTGTGCAGTTATGCAGGGCGGTATATAAAATACTAAAATGGTTAGCATTTCGTGGCCAATTAACTGTAAACATTTGTTTTCATAGATACCCATATCGTTTGGAAGACATTTTGTTGAGTTATAGAAGCTGAAATAGAATTGCTTTCAGTATTGTTTCCATCAGTATGGATTTCACCTAGCTTAAGGCAGTTGAATGTTTCTGACCGTAAACACAATATACTATAAATTAATTTATGGAAAATCTGTAAATAGCCTTACTGTTGGTTTATACTATACTCAAATACTTTTGTAAACGCCGTTGATTTTCAAATAAATAAAAAAAAAAAAAAAAAAAAAAAAAAAAAATTAAAATTCCTTGAAACTATATTTAAAAAAAAGGTCACCCCTGGAAGCATCCGAAGTGGTTCACGAAGCCATTCAAAAATATCACATAAAGAAGACTGCTGATTGATTTACAAATGCAAGGGTTGGGGGGTTTAAATCTTAAGTGGGCAAGACGAAAATTTTGACAAATTGTAAAGTGGTAGGTCAATTTTTTAAACTTTAAATCATTTTTAAATTCACTTGTAACTAATTGTCTCTTCAGCATGATGTGGCTACCTTCAATAGAATTTTGCATTTTGTATGTATCACTAATGTTTAAAAATAAGATTTAATGTAACTTTCTCTAGTGGTCCTAATAAATAAATAAATAAAATAAATTGTATAGCTATGAGTCAACACGGTGTCTATAGAGCGTTAATGTAAAATTTTAGCTGTAAACCTGGTGTGACAGGCTGACGAAGTGACAGCAATGTGCCTCTGGACTCTTCGAATACGGAACCCATATAGAATAACTAGACCCCTCTTTCCCAGTGGGCACTTTGGGCAAGTACCCAGGGCCCCGCGATCGATAGGGGCAGATCCCCCTCGGATCAAATACAAAGTCCCTAGTTCCTGTTAAATCACCAAACGGGAGTCATAGGGGCCCCATTATCCCAATATGCCCAGGGCCTCCAATAGGTCAAAGACGGCACTGAGAATAACAGAACCTTAAAAAGTAGGGTGAGGAGATAGCAGGCAGCATCGCTACAGACAGCAAACAATAGAGGTAGAAAGGGTGGCTGTACACAATATCATAACAGGTTTCTAATAAGACCACTCGATTGTTCCGACAGGTAGCCGGTTGGGGGCTGACAGAGGAGAACGGCAACGCGTCACCGTTCCTGAAGGTGGTGGAACTTCCGTTCATATCCATACAGGAATGTCAGACTGACGCACCGCTGGACTTCAGGGAGTACATCACTGGCGACAAGTTCTGCGCTGGATTTAGGAACGGTGAGTTTTAAAAATAAGCGCATACATACATATATTATGTAATTCACAAGTAAATGCTCCAGCCGGAATTTGAATCTATCCAAAAAACAAAAAAAAACACCGGTCAGGTGCGAGTTGGACTCGCGCACTAAGTGTCGCACACGGGCTATACGCCACAGCCACAAACGCCGCCACGAGAAGTTAGGAGCGGCTACTAAAGTGGCTGAAGCGCGCGACAGCGGCCGACTAAGGTAAGGGAGAGAAGGGTGGGGAATCACGCGAGTGACGTGTGGCGGCGTTTTGTAACGGCGCATTAAGTGGCCGATGCGGGCCACAAGAAGCGAGCAACGACGATTTGTAGCGTGTGGCGGCCACTGGCGTATCATGTTAGGCGAGTCCATTTATAATGTATGAAAACTACAAGAAATATGCCGGTGACGGCGTTTTGTGGTTGTGGTCGGTGGCCCGTGTGCGTCGACACTAAGGGCTTCGTACAACAAACCGCGACAGGTATTTTACATTTGTTTGTTTTCAGTATTTGCTGTTTGAATACAGCATATTAGTTACCAAAATTTCGCATTCTCAACTTGTTTCGATAATGAGATAGACCCCGTAAAAAATGTATTAAAATAATAACTTTGACGACTCTCCATTTCCGTTTTGTGGAAATAAAAAATAGTTATTTATTATACAAGAGTGGAAAGTTCCTTTTTAACCGCGTGCTCGATTTGGATGACCGAGCAAGCGAAGGATTCTAAAGTTGAATCACGAGCGCAGCGAGTGATTCTAAATTAGAATCCTGAGCGTCAGCGAGGGAAACAAACGAGCACAAGGTGAAAAATCTTTCCACTCGAGTGCAATACGTAACTTTTCATCCCACCTCAGCGAGGAAATGACAAAATGAAAAAGAAAACAATTTATAATGACAAAATATTTTTTTCACAATTTAAAAAGTTCTAATCATAAATTTGGCACCATAGAGGTTACATTAAATAGGTTTAATGACGTTTTGAATTTACAATTATATTGAGTACTCATTATATGTGATGTTCTAAATTCAAATCTACTTTGCCGCTCAAGCGAATAAAATAGAATTTTCCAGCCAGATTTCGAAGCGCAAAATTACACTTTCCGAGGTGGTGGGATGAAAAAATATTTAAATATATCCCCCTCAACGAGCTCTAATGATGCTGATGTGTCACATGCTGGGGTAAAAAAGAAAAAAAATCGTCTCTAAATCTCTTAAAAATCTTCATGTATGGGAAACGAAAACTAAAAAAATGTCTTGCAGCTTAAGAATGGATAGAAGAATTTCGACGCGGCCATCAGGGCCGCGGTAGCATAATTGGCAGTGCATTCGCCCGGATAGCGAAGGGTGCGGGTTCGAGTCCCTTCTACTGCCTGGTCCGCGTGGAATTTTTTCTAGTTATATTTTCTTTAGATTTAAATGAAAACTAATTAAAATTTTTTGGTACCCTTAGGGTACGCAATCTTAATAATTGGTAATATTTTAGTAAATTCACAATGAATGAATTACCGATAATTTTGAATACCCCTTCGAAGTGGCACATCACTAATTGTCATTGACACTCTCATCACTAATTGTCATTGACACTCTCGGGGCAAACAATGGCATTATTACTATTACTACTTTATTCAAATTGACTTATTGAAAGCTCTTTTGAATCGTCAATATTTTTTCCTACCACCCAATCAGGACATCTTTTAGCTGATGAGAAGAATGGGCACAAGAAAATTTAACATAAACTGTAGCAACATTTACAAAAAAATCGTGTCGCTACCAATACAACGTCCACTCACATTATGATTGCTGTGTGATTAAAAAGTCCTCTACGATAAGATGCTTATTTTTCAGGTACCGCTCTCTGCAAAGGCGACAGTGGAGGGGGCTTGACGTTCCCCGATCAGGAGCAAGGCAACACCCGCTACTACCTCCGGGGGGTCGTCTCCACGGCCCCGAACAACGACAACCTCTGCAACGCCTATTGGCTCACGACATTCACTCAGATCTCGCGTCACGAGCACTTCATCAAGAACTATCTGTAGATGAAAAACTCACTAGTCTTATCACAGATCACAGAAAGAGGTTACTTCGTATTTGCTATTGTGCCACGCATAGGGTTGTCAACCCTACTGTATAATATAGTGATGTCGATTCTGGCATGATAATCTAAAGACAACAGTCCATCCTTGTCATTCTCTGTACAGAATGAAAAGGAGAGACTGATGTTAAATTTAGTTTTAAGTTTAGAGAATTACGTAAGAATCAACACCATTATCTTACTATATTAGGGAATTAAATACTATATTTCTAAAAAATATATATAGTAGGTGAAGCTACTATAATATGTCGCTTAAAGCTGATTTTGCCAATAAAAGCTTTCTTAATATAAAAAAAACTGAAGAATTAATGTATAGAGCAGCAAAAAAATACTCATTTAAAAAATAAAGTAAATATTGTAACCACATACTATATTTTATTCCATTTTTTTGGCATCTAATATATTTTTAGAGGTAATAGCTTCGATAATACTATATTTGATAGAAAAAAAGTTGGTAACCCTAGCCACGCGTTGCGTGTTCCGTGCGCTCCATCTGGCTTTTGTTCTGTAATCTGAGACCTAGCATTTAATGATTAAAATAAAAATGTAATATTCTTATATTGTTATAAACTTCCATGGGCACTGACGTTAGAGTAGTTTATATTATTTGCGGCATTGTTACCATATACATATGTACGTACCTTGTTTTTTGCGAGTCTCCCTCTATTTCGGCACTGTTGCGAGTGCCACGATCACGGAGTAACTGAAGTAATTGCGGGTAGGATGTAATTGGCAGATATACCTATCGGTCTGAAATCTTTTCTTGCGCTCGATAGCAGTGCCGCTATTCCCGACACACAACACTCACAGAAAGTACCCATCTGATGAGCAAAAAAACGAGCGAGCCTTACAGTAGTCGCGTATGATGTGTAACATTTGAACCCTCACCTTATATTAGACCTTAAAAAAAGAAATAAAACCTACTACAAAAGGAATAAGCTATTTGAACATTATGTTTTAAAATCATTTCAAATAGCGCTCGCTTTCGCGACTTCCTGTTACACACTTCCGTCCCATTTCACGAAACCACTCCCACAAACTGCAGGAAAGCGAGAGGAAAGATGTTACACATCAAAAACCAAGGTATCATAGCAATCCTACATATAACATTGGCGAATTATTGTATTTACTAGTCTAAAGGTACTATTCCGTGCATCGCGATCGATCACGGCCGCGCGCGGCCTGCGACTGTCGGTCGCTCGCGACAATAGTCATAGTATGAAAATGTATGGCACCGCTTCCGAGGCCGGCGACTGACGCGCGCGGTCGACGACTGTCGTGAGCCGCGCGCGGCCGTGTCTCAAAGTTAGTCGGTGTTGTTCGGCAGATCCCTCTAGACGTGTGTCTACCGAAGTCAAAATCATGGTCGAAGTGCTAATTAACATTATTGAAGAAGAAGATGAGGATGACGAGCTGCTGTTATATTATGAAAATAGAGAACCAATCGCCCCTGTCTTTAAAAGCAGAAATGAAGAAGGATACTACCAAATATCGATTCAAAAGCATTTATATTGTGATGAAAAAAAGTTTCGGAAGTTTTCTCCTGCGTTCCTAGACATGTTTGCGCCATGAAATCCAAGATGTTACTGAGCGCTGAGCACGCACAGTCGCGCGCGGCTCACGCACGACAGTTGTTCGCCGCGAGCGTCTGTCGCCGGCCTCGGAAGCGGTGCCATACAATTTCATACAAGGACTATTGTCGCGAGCGACCGACGACAGTCGTAGGCCGTGCGCGGCTGCGATCGATCGCGATGCACGGAATAGTACCTTTATTACATCTAACTTGTCGGTCGCGCGTTTTTCGACAATTTAGCTGTCAACCAACAGGGCACAGTAGTCGGCTACGCGTTCTCCGTATGCAGCTTCAGAAGTTTCTTTTTTATTTTGGAAAACGATTGAGCCTAAGATGTTATTATTTCATGGATATAAATAACACAATTATTAAGCCACGACAAAATAAAAATACGACCAACCAATAAATATCCATTTGCATGAGTCAGTTGGTTGTACGTAATATACCGATTATGTGATAAGTATTTTTATGTATCCGATTTTTTTAATAAAATGACGTAATGTAATGTTGGTCTGATGAATAAAAGAATAACGATATTATACTTTCAAATACATACATTAAAATTGTTTATATTTATTGTTTGTTTTACATGTCTAAGAAAAATTGTCTAGATAAAAATTAACTTGTCCTCGTTGTTATCAAATTTCTAGTAAAAGTTTTCTTTATATTACAAAAATTTAGCAAGTAGATAAATGCTTCTATATAAAAACAGTAAAGTGGTCGTGTGTCTATAATGTTGACATTATTCGATAAATTATGTAGGAATTATTTTTGACGTGACAACGTCTTAAATTAGGTTGCGGCTGGGAGTCACTTATGAAAAAGTGTAACGCTCGGTAACGTTACGATGAGTCTCGTAGCATGCTGGAACCCCGTAGCCGTGTAGCAAGTTTGCTACGAATCGTCGTAGCGTGGTTGCATGCTACGATGGTATTCACAAGCACAATGCATTGTAATATGTTTTTTTGACGTATTATATATATTTCTATAGTTAAAATTTGTGCAATTCTTATTTTCATTCAATTCCTTGTTCCTATTGTGCAATTTAATTATATTCATATCAATAAATATTCTACCGAGAAAAAGACGTTGTCACGTAAAATCTTCGCCCGTAAAACCGACTTTACAGGCAACCATTTTTTTTTATTAAAAATACGATAGTATCATAAGACAGTTTTAAACATGGTTTTCATAAACGTCTTCCAGAACTTAGAACATAATTAAGTGAAACTTTTTCAATCGACTAAATATCAAATTTATAAGAAGCAAAAGTTTAACTTTAAGGTACAGCTCCGCAATGGGCTGCAGACCGTGACCGCAGACGACACTGAGGCTAGCGCCTGCGGCTGACCGCAGGGAAGCCTGCGGTCGCGGCAGCTTCTATTCCGAGCGCGGCGACACGACGCGGCTGCACAATGTATATAACCATGCCTCAGTGATAATTTACTAATGTGCCTTTTGTTAGAAGACGAAGATGATGACGACTTGTTGTTACTATATTTTTAATTTTTGTCTAGCAATATTTTCCAACTCTACTTCCTTTCTAACAGATTTCAATATTTATGACAACGAAAGAAAATAAAATTAATAAAAATGAAATCTTAAAAACTTACGAGTGAAATGTTACACCATTAGCTTTATTTGTCTTTTTGGAATTGTTAGAGCACTTTCGGATGGCACACGACGGTATTATAATACACTTTTCTTGCAAAAAATGGGAATTGCGAAAAAATGGAAAAATGGGAGTTAGCTCATTCAAGTATTGACAGATTCCGGTGCGGTGAAACTGTGGTAAGGGCATACCTATTCAAATCTTTGGTGTGACCTCTCTGCGGTTGGCGACACCACTGTAACTGTAGTCTGCGGTCGCTGCACGCCGCAGCCGCAGGCTACGCGCCGCGGTTGCAGGCCGCAATGTCGCCGCGCTCGGAATCAGTTTCACAGAACTAGTAGTGTCGCCTGCAGTCTGCAGCTGCGGCCAGTGATCTGCGGTTACCTTTAGACTTTTCTTAAAAGATCTTACTGATAACGAAATACTTAAATTAAATATAGAGTTGATATACAAGTATCCAATGGATATTTTATAAAAATATTTATTCCTAAAGAATATATAACATACTTTAATTCTTTTTATAAACTGAAGTCTTTTTGTAGCAATAATAAATCTTACTTTTTTCAACTTGATAACTTAAATCATTCCTACGCGGTAGCTACTTACATAGATTTTTTAAAATGTCGAGCATTATGAATTCATTTATTTTTAAATGCGGCTTTCATTATTATATTATGTAAGCAGCCACCTTTCGAATGACGTGACGAATTGATTTAATTATAATATTATAAATAAATCTACATGAGACATTAGTAATTTTGTTATTTCAAATATACAAATTACCTACGTTATAATGAAATGGTGTGGGGTAGGAACTCGAACTGTCTCGATTTTAAACCTATATTTCAAGAGTTTCGCTTTTTTTTCTTTGCAAACTGCTTTTAATTAAATCTTTTCCAAAATCATTCTCAACCACTTGAATATCTGCCTTTAATTTTTATCTTGATTAATTAATTATTACTTTTTCTCATGAAATGTTTAACACTATAAAATGTATTGCTCAATTAAATAAGGTTATTTTAAATAATACAAAACGTTTTTTTTCGCATACATCCCTAGAATATACCTATTGATATTTTAAGTATAAGTTTAGCCAATGATTTTGAGATCTATACCTAAACTAAGTCTGGCCATAAGTACTGTTACATTAACAAAATATGTACAAACAAATAATCCAAAATCTTATTTCCTAAATACCCTAACTTAAAATAATCTTTGCAGAGAATTAGGCAAAGCAGAATTTTGCTTGTATGTTGTACTGCTACTTCATACAAGATGGTGTTAAATAACTTTACGTTTATATGGATTTTAAACTTTGTTTGTATACAATTTTGAATTCAATCTTTCTCTATGTTTAATAGTTCCATATTTGTTGATTTTAGAAATGATTGCTTTTGACAATTACTTAAAAATCCCTGAAAAAAAAATGATTATGTCAATATATGCTTACCATAATGAATGCTAAAAAAAAGGTAAATTTAAAAAATCAAAAAACCCGACTGCTTAATTATACTTCAAATAAAAACTGAAAAGAAAAAAACAAGTCCAGTAGTCTATAATTCTGTTAATAAGGAACAAAGCTACTTTAACAGTCGGGACCCACTGTTGAAAAATATTATGTATTCTTGAATATTTAATGGGTCCCGACTGTTAAGTAGCTTTGTTCCTTATTAACAGAATTATAGACTACTGGACTTGTTTTTTTCTTTTCAGTTTTTATTTGAAGTATAATTAAGCAGTCGGGTTTTTTGATTTTTTTAAATTTACCTTTTTTCCTTCTTATGTGACACTTATTGCTATATATTGGCCAATTCACTCAATAACTACATAAATTATTATATATATGTAATTATCATATATGAGCTATATTACTGTTAAGTTTCATTAAAATCCATTCAGTATCTTTTTGGTGAAAGAGTAACAAAGATCCATACAAACGTAAAATTGA